GCTGCCTCTGCCTCCCGAGTGCTGGGATTAAAGGTGTGTGCTCCCACCGCCCTGCTGAACTTTAGTTCTTATTAGGAACATTTAAATTATCTTTGTCCTCCGCAGACTACTACCTGGGGCCAGCCCGTCCTTGACTGTGCTTGTGTGGCTCTCAGGCGCGAGTACAGCATAGTCCCTCCTCTCTGCCCACAGGCTTGCCTTTCTTCTCCACCAGGAGCGGTGCAGTAGCTTCTACAGCCCCATTCTGCCCAGTTGATGCAGCACTACCGATGCTGGGCAGCAGGTGGCGCAGAGGGACCTTGAAGTTTAAGCTCTGGCCTGAACCGTCTTGAATGGATCCAGAGGGGAAAAAAGCCTTTATCCATCTCCTCCTCACCTTCCCCTTCCCTCCCTCTCCGCCCTCCCTTCCTCCTCTTGCTTTTGTGATTTTGTTATTTGTTTGAGACAGGGTCTTACTATGTAGCCCTGGCTGGACTAGAACTAGTTAGTCTGTAGACCAGATGTAGAGAACAGAGGGATTAACACCCTCTTCTGGCTTCTTCAGGTACTCACCCACCCCTACACATAAACAAACAACAAAATAAATCCTTAAAACAAAAAGAATGCTTCGTTTGCTTGTTTTTGTTTTTTCCAGACAACGTTTCACTGTGTAATAGCCCAGGCCGTCCTGGAACTCTCTTTGTAGACCAGGCTGGCCTCAACTCAGAGAGCTCTGCCTGCCTCTGCCTCCTTAGTGCTAGGTTTAAAGCCCACCACTGCCAGGCCAAAAAGAATGTTTTAAGTCAAGTGGAGTATACACATCTGTAGTCCCAGCTAATGGGAGGCAGAGGCAGGAGGTGACTTGAGCCCAGAAGTTTGAAGCCAGTCTGGATAACACAAATGAGACCTCGATTCCAAAAAGGGAAAAACTGAGTACTTGTTAAATTTTTCTGCAACCCAAGGCTTGGGAGGTAGAGGAAAGAGGACCAAATGTTTAGTGCTGGGCCAGCGAGATGGATCATGGGAAAAGGCTTTTGTGGCCAAGCCTGACACCCTGGGTTGGATCACTAAGCCCCATATGGTGGGAGGAGAGAAGGAGTTGTTTCCTGACCCCTCCCCCCCACATGCTCCACGTCATGCACAAATGAGTAAAAAATGTCAAATTAGTTCAATGTCATGCTTCAGCAAATAGCAAGTTTTAGACTAGACTAGGGTCAGGTGACTGTCTTAGAAAGCTAGCAGGCGGTGGTGGCGCACACCTTTAATCCCAGCACTCAGGAGAGGCAGGCGGATCTCTGTGAGTTCGAGGCCAGCCTGCTCTACAGAGCTAGTTCCAGGACAGCCTCCAAAACAATACAGAGAAACCCTGTCTCGAAAAAAAAAAAAAAAAAAAAAAAAGGAGGGGAAAACAAGGGAGGCAGGCAGTGAGGGAGGGAGACAGGGAGGGAGACAGGGAGGGAGGAGAGAGGGAACTAATGCCAGGTGTGGTATGGTAGCACAACTGTAACATCAGCACTCAGAAAGCTGAGGCAGGAGGATTGCCTAAGTTTGAGAACAGCTTGGGCTACACAGTGAGTTTAAGGCAAGTTTGTGATACATACGAAAGCTGTCTCAGAAATGAGAGGATGTGCAGGAGGGCAGAGAGGAACGGTACTACCTACTGGAAATTACGCATCACTTACCTCATGGAGCTTCTGGAATACTTTTGAAGAGATAACCTAAACCTACTAACACTGTACAATAAAACCAGGGAAGAGATGAGTTTTCCCTCTTCTAATGATAGAGATCACGTGTGTGTGTGTGTGTGTGTGTGTGTGTGTGTGTGTGTGTGTGTGTGTGTTCTCTCAACTGCTGAGCCATCTCTCCAGCCCAGCCTTAGACTCCTGAACCTTCATCTCCACATGCTGGAATGACAGCTATTTGCCGAAATGCCCAGCCTCTTTCTTCTGTATAAACACACACACACACCCCTGCTGTGGTGTTGTAGACGGAATGTCATATCCCCTAAAATTCATATGTTAAAAATCTAACCCCAATGTAATGACACTATAAGGGCATCACCTGAATGAGATAATCATCCTTATTTAGGGGCCCCAAATAACTGGCCTGTTCCTCCTACCATGGGAGAGAGGAACATGGATGCCTACAGCCCAGAAGTGGGTTCTTTTTTTTTTTGGTTTTTGTTTTTTTTTTTTTTTTTTTTTGGTTTTTACAAGACAAGGTTTCTCTGTATTGTTTTGGAGGCTATCGGTCCAGCCTGGCCTCAAACTCACAGAGATCCGCCTGCCTCCGCCTCCCGAGTGCCTGAATTAAAGGCGTGCGCCACCACTGCCCAGCCCAGAAGTGGTTTCTTACCAGTATTGTATAACAAAACATTTCTTGGGACCCCGGAACACACAGGTCTACACACCCAAGAAATGGAGCCCGTGACAGACCAAAGCTAGATACCAAAGTCCAACTTGGCGAGCCATTACGTTTTATTGAAGTTACTTACAGGAATAGGGAACAGAAATGACCCAAAGGTAGCTGCATCACCAAGAACCTCCCCAGCATGGGTGACAGCTCACAAAGCTGGGAACCAGGAGCACACTGCACAGCTTGCAGGCAACTCAACAGTTTGAAGACGGTCCCTCCAGCTGCCTCAGTTGGCATAAGCCTCTTCCAGACAGGACAGCGGGTTTCTGCTGCTTCCAAGCACCTAGTCTGCTCTGAGAGAGTCTTCTCCACAGTATAGCTCTCCTGTATGTGGGGAGTTCTTCAGATAACTTCCTTGTTTGCTCTGGCAGGGCGGGGCCTAAGCGAATTTGGTCAGTTTCAGGAACTTCCCGAAGCTAGTTTGAGTTGTTTACCTTCCTGCTTAAGGAGTTTCCTGCAGGATAGACTATTTTAATCTTGCAGGAAACAGTTACCCAGCAACCAGTCTTCTGAAAGGCCAGTGTCGTGATCTTGAAGATCTCAGCTGTCATGACTGTGACAAAGGGCTGTTCTTTATAAACCACTCTCTGTGGTACACAGTGATAGAGCAGACACAGACTAGAGGAGTGACCAGAGAGATATCATCCTCAATCTGTCATTTCACACGGTGGTGATATTTAGTCTGTGCTCTAACAAATAAAGCTTGCCTGAAGATCAGAGTGTGGGACTAGCCACTAGTTAGCAATAGAGGCCAGGCAGCCTCTATTAATCCCAGCAATCAGAAGACAGAGGCAGACGGATCTCTGTCAGTTCAAGGCCACCCTGGGCTACACAAAGTTGATCCAATCTAAAGGAGAAACAGCTCACACAAAGGTGATCCCAGCACTTGGGGTCACATGCCTTTAACCCCAACACTAGGGATGTGGAGGCAGGAGTGAGGTAGCTGGGTGGGGAGAGGAACATAAGGCAGGAGGAGTCAGGAGCTCAGTGCAGTCTGGGCAGTCAGTCTGAGGGGCAGGAGCTCAGTGCAGTCTGGGCAGTCAGTCTGAGGGGCGGTCCGAGGGTGCGGAGGACAGGATCACCTCTTTGGTCTGGCGTTGGCAGAGGTGAGCACTCTAGTGTCTGGCCACTCTGATCCTTCAGCTTCCCCCCCAGACAGCTGACTCCCAGTTTTTATTATTAAGAACAATTAGAATTCGTGCTACAGATAACAGCTTGGACCGTGTCTTGTCACACAGGACAGGAACGGCTGTGAACTTAGAGCATACCTCCGAACCTCTTAGTAGCACCGGCTAGTATCAGTCAGTAAGCACCAGTGTTAGACCCAGATACATTCATGAGTCCAGTCTTCTCAACAAACCCCGAGGTAGATGACGTTCTCATTTTCATCTTACAAGGGAGGGAACAAGGTTAGGGAACTGAGGCAGTAGGTACCTTCTTCCAGCAGCCTGGCCCTACTACAGTGCTCTGGCATGGGCTCACCTCCAGGACCATGATGCCTTGGGGCTGGACACCACAACTACTCACCTTTGTATTTTAATGTGTTGAGCTGACTGACACTGCATGCAATTGAAGTGTGCCTTCATTCATTCACTCAACAAAACATCCCTAGGTTGGAGTGCTTGTCCAGTGTATGATGTATGAAGAAGCTTACATCTTTTCGCTTTTACTGATTGGAAGGCTCTGCTAGGGAGCAACAGCAGAAGGCAGGACACACCTTCGATGCCAGCGCTCTGGAGTCAGAGGCAGGTGGATCTCTGTGAGTTTGAGGCCAGCCTGGTCTACAAAGTGAGTTCCTGGACAGCCAGGGATATGTAGTTCTCCACCCTGCCTCAAAAACAAAATCAGCCCTGCGGACTCCTTTAATCCCAACACTTGGAGGCAGGAGAAGGTGGATCTAAGCTCTAACAAACAACAACAACAAAATAATCAAAAATAAAAACGCCACCAAAACCGAGACTGCTATGTACTCTCAAGACTTTCCTTAACTACCTTGGTACGGTCCTGTACCCGACACTGCGCTGACTGTGCCCTCTGGTCTCACACTGTGTGTCCTTAGTGCTGGTCCCAGTGGCATGCACTGTAGGAGGCTGAAGCTGGAGGCTACACAAAAAGCCAGCCTGAGTTAAACTTGTGGGTTCCACGCCAGCCTGAGCTACACAGCAAATACGCAGTAAACGTTCCCTTCCTTAGCGGAGCGAACGCAAGATCAGTGGAAACTGAGAACAGTCAGTGGGGTGGAATGTCCTGTTTCCTACTTAAAAATTAAAGACTGCCATTGGCCGTGCATCTCCTCAGAGTCTCTGTGGAGACTAACTGAAACGGGCGTGCAGAGAGCCTGGCCAAGAGCGACCCTTCGCGGACGCTCCCTGCAGGATCGGCCGCCGCCCGGACCACGGCGCGCCATTCACCTCACGCGGACCGCCGCGGCGGGAGAGGCGCCCGGCGGGAGGAACCCGCGCGCGCTGAGAGCGGCGCGAGGCCCCGAGCGAGCAGAAGACGCCGCCAGGCGCGACCCACACGCCCGGGGGCGGGGCCCCTTGGCGCCCGAGCCGCCTCGGCAGCGGAAGTTCCGGTGTCGGCGAGCGGAGGTGAGAGGTCAGCAGGAAGTCGATACGTGGCCGCCGCCTGTCCCCGCCGAGGAGGCGCTGCGAGCGGAGATGGCGGCGCAGCTGAACGTAGAGCAGCTCGAGGTGTCGCTCGACGGCCTCACGCTGAGCCCGGACTCGGAGGAGCGGCCCGGCGCGGAGGGCGCCCCGCTGCTGCCGTCGCCGTCCTCGTCCCCCGGGGCTGGACGGGGCCCGGGCGCCGCGGGGCAGCAGCCGGAGCCCGGGGAGGCGGCGGCCGAGGGCGCGGCCGAGGAGGCGCGGCGGATGGAGCAGCACTGGGGCTTCGGCCTGGAGGAGCTGTACGGCCTGGCGCTGCGCTTCTTCAAAAGTGAGAGCGGGTCCCTCGCCTCGGCGGCGCCGCGGGCCGGCCGGGCCTGCCCCACCCACCCGAGCTAGGCCGGGGTGACCGGAGCGCGCCTCCGTCCTTGGCGGCACCGGGGTCTGTCCCTGCCGGCCCGGCCCCTGGTCACACCCCTGAGGGACCTGGAACCCTGGCTTGGCGGCGCGCGGCGCCTGAGGTCGCCGGGGCGTTGTTCCCTGGCTTAGGTTCTCTGGTGTCCGTGAGCCCGAGGGGAAGAGTGAACGCGCGCTCCCAGGGGCTCCCGTTCGGGGACGGGTTTCTCCTTTTCGTCGCTCTCTGTCGACTGGTTTCCCGCGGCTCGCCACGTCAAACCGATTTTCACATTTTAAGCTTCTTAGTGGAAGGAAATTGTCTGTGCGTCCCACTCATAGTTTTTCTGGCCTTCTTGGAAACTGTGAGAGAGCCTAGGACAGGACGTGATCTCTCGGCCGTAGGGATGTAGCGGGGGAGAAAGTAAATGCTAAGTTCCTGTGTGCCCTTTGCTTGTCTAAGTAAATGACGGCCGGTATGTTCTGGTAACTTCTAGATGGTTATGGAATTTTACCTTGTAAGCGAATTCTGAAGAGTAAGGCCCAAAAGTACACCGACTTCTCTCCCTCTTCGTGCATGCAAGTGTGTGTGTGTGTGTCAAGTCTGTCTCTCCCTCCCTCCTCCCCCTCTCTCCTCTTCTCTCACACACCCCTAACTTTTTAAAAGCAAAATTCCCGTGTGCGGTGGTTTTGTTTTAATTGAGTGATTGACGTACTTAATAGTGGAGGTACACTCAGATTGGGTCAGAGGGAAAGAACTTTAGACTAAACAGTCTGATTCTTAAAGATGCTCAGACCCTTAGTGGGAAAACAAAGAGAGAGAGAAAGGTTGCTAGGTTTCACATGCATTCCAGAACAGCATATTTATGACAGTTTTCTTACAGATAGTGCTTTCAGATTACATATTTTACCAGCTGAAGTTCGGTTACTCATTGTAGTGACCCATGTTAAGGTAGTTTTATTCTTAAATAGCTGTAAATGCTCAAACTAGTGAAATTCTATGGAAATTTACAGAACATTAAATGGTTACTCTACATTCATTGATTTTTTTGCTTTTAATCCATAAAATTTATCCTTGAACTGTTCATTGTCATTGTGCAAGGATCAGCCCTTACTAAGTTGATAATGAGTTTAGAACTACTGTCTCTTGAGTCACTGGCTTGATTTTAGAGTGTGTTGTAAATAAGTACAAATCCACTGGTTTCTGTGCAGTTCACATAGCTATGTTTGCCTTTAAAAGTTAATTTTTGGGCTGGGTGGTGGTGGCAAACACCTTTAATTATAACACCCCAGAGGCAGAGGCAGAAGTAGGTAGGTCTTTGAGTTTGAAGCCAGCCTGGTCTATAGCTATGACTACACAGAGAAACCCTGTCTTGAAAAACAACAAAAGTTAATTTGTTTTTCAATAACATAAACTGAAAGAAAGAACCAGCTTTAGTTTTTCTTTTAACTTTTAATTTGTGTGTCTGTGTGTGTGTGTGTGTGTGTGTGTGTGTGAGAGAGAGAGAGAGAGAGAGAGAGAGAGAGAGAGAGAGAGAGAGAGAGAGAGAGAGAGAGAGAGACTTGGGTGCTGGGAATTGAACGGGGGTCCTTGGGAGGAGCACTGTGCCATTCTTAGTCACTGAAATAGGGCCCCATACCAGAAAGAACCAACTTCTAATCCTTCATTTTGCTGCATGGGTAACAAAAAAATGTGTTTTTTCACCTGAGCTGTCATACTTAAAAACAGCATTATCTGCTTCAAGACATTAAATTGCTGAGCATGGTGTTAAACACCTGTAATCTCAGAACTTGGGAGGCAGAGGCAGGTGGATCTCTGTGAATCTGAAGTCAGCCTGGTCTATGTAGTGAGCTTTGGGACAGCCAGAGCTATATAGTAAGAGCCTGTTTCAAAAACAAAAAATAAATAAGTTAATTTTAAAAGTTGTATAATGGGCAGCAAATATGCATTGTTTTGGGTCAGGAGCCTCAATTTAAATTCTTGTTGCTTTATAAATTCCTAGAAAACTAACTTTACTAGATTCAAGTTCCATATAAAGAAAAGGCTGGATTAGATAACACTAGATGCCTCACATTTAATATTTAGTGGTTGAAACAGATTATTTTAAATTGCCTTTTGAGTAAGAAGGGTCCTCAGAGAACCCATATTTGTGGGGCCCAAGATACCAGTCACCTTATAGAAGAAAGTACACTGATAGTTTGGTCAATTCCTAAATTAAGTGCTCAAAATGGTATCCAAGCACTTCAGATAGCTACTTAGTGATTCAAAGCACCTTTCTGTGTGGGTTATTATTTGAGAGAACAATCAAGGGCTGGCGGTTTATCAGGCACTAATTGTGGAAGAGGGAAAAGGATATAAAAGCAGAATTAACAGAAACGGGTGAGTCCAGCAATGCTGCCTTTGTTTTTGTGGGTGTGTGTATGTGATATCTGTGTGTGGAGGTCACAGGACAGCCTTGGGTGTTAGTCTTCCTTGAGCCAGGATCTCCTTTGCTGCTGTGTATAGCAGTTAGCTACCCCGTGAGCTTCTGGAGATTTTCTTGTCAGCCTCTCACTATAGAACTGAATCCTCGATGTTCACTACCACATCTTTGTTGATGTGGATTTAGGAGATCTGAATTTCATACTTATACATCAAGTGCCTTACTCACTGAGCCATTTCCCTACAACTGAGGCCTTCATTTTAATGTATGTTTTTCTCCTAGCAAAGTAAGTCCATGTTTTTATAAGTATTGCAGTTGTTGTGGGCCAGTGTTTCACGTTTTTGTTTGTTTTCAAATTTCCAAGTCAGGGTTTCTTTGTGTAACAGCTCTGTCTGTCCTGGATCTTTATGTAGACCAGGCTGGTCTTGAACTCACAGAGATCCACCTGCCTCTGCCTCCCAAGTGTTCTAATTAAAGGTGTGTATGACAACCACCCAGCTCACTTTTTCTTTTAAATTACATTTTATCTTGTATGGACTGAATGTGAATCTTGAATGCAAGATTGTCTTCTATTGAAAATAGCTGGAAGGGCCTGGGCTACAGCTCGGTTGTTAGAGGGCTTGCCTATCCAGCTTCAGGACCTGGGTTCCATCACCAGTGCCATATGAGCAAGGTGTGGTGGTGCAGGCCTGCACTTGGGGGTGGGTCTGCAGTTTAAGGTCATTCTTAGCTGCATAGTGAGTGCAAGACCACTCTGGGATAGATGTAAGATACACCCATAGGAAAAACAAAAAACAAAAAACAAAAACAGTGGCAACAGTATAACGTGGAATCTGGGAGTCTGTTTTGTTTCTTGTCATAGTAATTAATAGTCAAGCCAGTGGTGAGCTTACTATGTCAGTTTCTCTCAATTTTTTGATAAAGTGAAAGTGAAGTGATGTGGCTGGGGTGTAAGTGAAGAAGCGCTTGCCCAGCATTTGTAACACAGCATCCACAGCAAGACCCTGAAAGTGTCTCTTAGGATGGTCTGTAAGTGAGGGTTTGCTATGTAAATGCCAGGGAGTTTTGTGCCCTTATGGATAAGGTTTCATGTTAGAATCACTGCTGTGTGAATGGTACAGTCATCTTTGTTCTTAAGCAGCATGAAGTCAGAAAGAAGATGTAAAGGGCCAGTTGACGACTGCAGTTGAGGGGGGCAAACAGCGACTCCAGAGGGGACAGTGGAGATTGGTAGGCCAGGCATGTGTGTTTGGGACATGGCAAGTAGGAGAGAGAGCTGTAAACAGTTTAACTTTTCTTTAGATGAAGAACCAGTAAAGGTTTTTCAGAGTATCCTTTTTGACCGTTGTTGGGTATAAGGCACAAATATGGTACACATACATACATACATACATACATACATACATACATACGGTATACATGCAGGCTGGCAAACACTAGTACACAATAAATCTTTATTTTTATTTATTTCTGAGATAAGATCTCTATTATGGAGCTCTTAGCTGTACTGAAACTCAATATGTAGATCAGGCTAGCCTAAATTCACAGAAATCCACCTGCCTCTCCATTGCTAAGCCTGGCAAAATTATAAATTTTTTTTTTTTTTTTTTTTTTTTTTTTGGTTTTCCAAGGCAAGGTTTCTCTGTATTGTTTTGGAGCCTGTCCTGAAACTCGCTTGGTAGACCAGGCTGGTCTCGAACTCACAGAGATCCGCCTGCCTCTGCCTCCCGAGTGCTGGGATTAAAGGCATGCGCCACCACCTCCCGGCCTTTATAAATTTTTTTTTAATTAAGAAAATTAAGTGTGGGAACTTTCTGTTACCTGAACACACCATAGAAGAAGAGATCCAACTTCCACAGGCTAGCCTCTGACTGCCCCACCTCCACCTCGCCCCCATAAATAAACAAGTAAAACAATTTTTGTTTCCTTTGCTTTTTTTTTCTTTTTTTGAGACAGGGTCTCTCTAGGTAGCTCTGGCTGTCTTGGCCTTTGTAGGCCAGCGGGCCTTAAACTCAGAAATTTGCCTACTTTTGCCTCTCAAGCTCTAGAATTAAAGGCATGTGCTGCCACACCCAGCTAAAATTTGTTTTATTTTTAAGACAGGGTCTCATTATGTAGCTAAGGTTACACTAACATTGCTACTGATTATGCCCCTTTTTAGTATGGATAGTATTATATATAAACAGAGAATTACACTAATGATAGCAGTCATATGGATGAGTGAAATAGTTCCATTTCCTGACTTCTCCTGACTTCTTTAAACATAATTTAGTGGGCTGGAGAGATGGCTCAAAGGTTAAGAGCACTGACTGCTCTTCCAGAGGTCTTGAGTTCAATTCCCAACAACCATATGGTGGCTCACAACCATCTATAATGAGATCTGGTGCCCTTTACTGGCATGTAGGAATACATGGAGGCAGAATGTTGCACACATAATAATTAAATCTTAAAAAAAAACATAATTTAGCTGGGTGTGGAGGTGCATGCCTTTAATCTCAGCACTCATAGCAAATTCCAGGCTAGCCAGAGATACATAGTGAGTCCCTGTCTGAAACGAAATCACTCATTACAAAACAAGCATTTATAACAACTTTAACAAATGTCTTAATGTTTTAAAATAATGGACAGCTATAACTTATTAATTAGAACGTATAATTATGTCTTCTCTGTATTCAGGTGGACTAACCTCAGACAATTCTAATTGTTGCTCTGGAACTTGTTACAGTTGGAGTTTTATTTTCCCTTTATTGTCTTTAGGCACAAGTATATAATAATTTAGATACATATAAAGCCCCTAGGTTTATATACAGCTTGTCCTGGAACTTGCTTTATAGACTAGATTGAACTCAGAGATCTGCCTGTCTCTGCCTCCCAAGTACTGGGATTAGAGGCATGCCAGTTTACAGGTTTTTATTTATTTTGCTTTGTTTTGTTCTTTTGATAGAGGATTTTAGGTAGTTTAGGCTGGCCTTGAGTTCATTATGTGGCCAAAGATAACAGTGAGTTCCTGATCTTCCTTCCTGAATATTAGACAAATTACAGTCTTTAATTGACCTCAATACTTTATAAACTCAAAGAAAAATACATTGCTGACATGTAGCACGGTGATTTGTATGCAGGAGCTCTGATTATTAAGTTGAGCAAATATTGAAAAGGTCTTTGTAGGGTTGAAGGATAACTATGTTGGTAAAAAGTGCTTGCCGGGCTGGAGAGATGGCTCAGAGGTTAAGAGCACTGACTGCTCTTCCAGGGGTCCTGAGTTCAATTCCCAGCAACCGCATGGTGGCTCACAACCATCTGCAATTCAATCTGATGTCCTCTTCTGGCATGTAGGCAGAACACTGTATATGTAATAAATAAATAAATCTTTAAAAAAAAAAGTGCTTGCCAAGCAAGCATGAGTACCTGAGTTCAGATCTCTAGCATCCATGTAAAAGATGAACATGACTGTGTGCCCACAATCCCAGGACTGGGAAGGTCAAGACTGGAAACTCCTTGGGGCTTGCTGGCCTACCAGTCTAGACAAATCTGTGAGTTCCAGGTTCAGAGACACTGTCTCCCCCCCGCCCCCAAATAAGGTGGAGAGTAATAGAGGAAAACCCTGAACATTAACTTGTAGCTGCCACATAGCTGTGTGTACATGGACATACATACATCTTAGTAATGAGCATCACTGGTTAAAATAACAGTGTAAGAGTTGCCCTCGGAGTCTGGAAGAGGGCACTAGATCCCTTGGAGTTGGAGTTACAGGTGGTTTTAAGCTGGATGATGGGTGCTGGGAACTGAACCCAGATCCTTTGGAAGAACAGCACATGCTCTTAACCACTGAGCTCTCTCCCTGGGCCCACATTCTGTCTTTCAAAAAGTGTTTGGGTGTGCGTGTGTGCTAAAGATGGCTCAGTGATTAAGAATGTAGAATACAGAGGACCACAAGGAGTGGGCAGCTCAAACCTGCTTGTGACTCCAGCTCTTGGGGAATCCAGTGCCTCTGGCCTCCACAGGCACCTGCACTCACATGCACATACATGTAAACACACAATTTTTTTTTCCATTTTCCTTCTTTAAAAGCTCGTGGGTTGGGGGGGGTGTAATGGAAATGGCTCCATGGCTTGCGTAACAGTTCTTGCTTGCATGCTTAGAGGCCTGAGTTCCATACCTAGATCCTACATAAAGGTAGAAGGAAAGAACACGCATGCACAGAAATACTAGAATAATATTTGTTTCTTACTATTGTTAGAAAAACATTTAGTCACGTAGGGGGAAATTTTTTTCACTTTCCCCTTCCAGTTTTATCAGTCCCTTCTCCAGAGGCATCTCTGAATAGTTACGTCTGTCCCGACATTTTCCCACACTAATGAATGATACAGGGAGCAAATACTACTACATTCTCTTAAGGACCACTCCTAGTCCTCATCTCCATTTTGTGACTCATCTACTTGGTGTGACTCTTGGAGGTCTTTTTCTTTTCATCCATTCACTTTAGAGATATTAAAGACTGTGCAGTGTGTGTGTGTGTGTGTGTGTGTGTGTGTGTGTGTGTGTATGGGAGAGGATTTAGGATTGATGCAATATTTGTATAGTGCTTTTTTACCACTTGCTTTGTTTTTTTTGTTTTGTTTTGTTTTTAGTTTTACGAGACAGGGTTTCTCTGTATTGTTTTGGAGGCTGTCGGCCTAGCCCGGCCTCGAACTCACAGAGATCCGCCTGCCTCTGCCTCCTGAATGCCTGAATTAAAGGCATGCACCACCACTGCCCGGCATTTGACTTGCTTTGTTTTTGAGACAAGGTCTCACTGTGTATCCCTGGCTGTCCTGGCTCACTGTACAGGTCAGGCTGGCCTCAAATTCACAGAGATCTTCCTGCCTCTGCCTCAGCCTCACCGATGCTGGAATTAAAGTGCCACACTGTCACTAACCTTTTTTTTTTTTTTAACTTTTATGTATGTGCGTGTTTTGTCTTAATTTGTCAAATCTGAATGTATAGGGGTATCCTGATATGTAATGATTCTAATTTCAATTTCTTTGACCAGTGAAGTTGAATACCATTTTAGATTTTTATTGACAACCTCCATCTTCCTTCTCTAAGCTTCATGTCCATGTACATTAATTCATGCTTTTATTCTTCAGTGATTTTATTTTGACCACCGTGATGAAATTTGTATATAATTTGTACTTAAATTTTTTTTTGTATTTGTGGAGTGGGGGGCTATGTCATGACTTGTGGTCAGAAGACAACTTGAGGGAGTTAGTTCTTTCCTTCCACTCTGTGGATTCTAGGAATAAAACTCGAATTGTCAAAGTATCTGCTGAGCCATCTTGCCATCTATTTTTTTTATTTCAGTAGTCTATTTTTATTGGAATCAATTAAAAACTTTTATGAATGTTACCACAATGGGGGGTACTTAAAGTTTTTTTTTAATTTTTACCAGAACCCATTTTTATTACTAATATTTTTGAATATTGGTAATAGTTAAGTCATTTCTTGTCAAAATGGCTTAATTCTGCCTTTTTTACGGTGTTGTTTTATTTATTTTTCAGAGACAGTCTCACTCTGTAGTCTAGGCTGACTTTGAACTCATTGTGTAGTTTATACTGTCCTCAAACTTGAGGCAATTTTCCTGTCTCAACTGGGGTTATAGATGTGTGTTGTCACCATTGACTTTTACTTGTTTGATTGCCTTTCTCTTTTTTCTTTTTTTTCCCCCCTTTGGTAGGGTTTCTCTGTGTAGCCCTGAGTCTCCTGGAACTCTGTAGACCAGGCTAGCCTCTAAACTGTATCCCCCTACTTCTGCCTCCAGTGCTGGGATTAAAGGCATGCATCACCATGCCTGACTGTCTTCTTTCTTAATTGCCCATATGGAAGTCTACCAGAGCCAATGATGAAAAGAATCACACAGTATTAATAATGTACTATTGACCTCTGAAAGTGCAATGTAATCTTCTTTTTATTTATGACTAAACTAAAAACTTAACTTATCTGACAGCTTAGAAATGTCTTAAAATGAAATTTAAACCCAGTCCGTCTGATTCCAAAGCTCCTACCAAAATATCATACTGCCTCATTAGAGCGGTTGTAATTTAAATACAGCCTTCCAAAGCATATATAATTTGTTGATGCATGATCCTATTCAGAGTGATTAAAATTTTTGGTCTTTTTAAATCATTTACAAAAATCTCTGAGTTCTAGCCAGCTTGGTTCTACATAGTGAGTTCCAGGCCAGCCAGTGCTATATGATGAGACCCTATCTCACAAATATAGAAACAACAACAATAAAAATAAGCATTTGGGAGCTGGAGAGATAGCTTAGAGGTTAAGAGTGCTAACTGCTCTTTCAGAGGTCCTAAATTCAATTCCCAGCAATCACATGGTAGGTCACAACCATCTATAATGAGATTGGTGCCCTCTTCTGGCATGCAGGCAGAACACTATACATAATAAATAAATCTTTAAAAGCAGAAAAGCATTTAAACCAGGTGGTGGTGGCTCATGCCTTTAAATCTCAGTATTCAGAGTGAGTGTCAGGACAGCAAATACTGCACAGAAAAACTCTGTCTGGGGGAGGATCATTTTTAAAAAATTATTACTGTATATTTAATTCATGCCTAAATGCACAAACCATACTGTTTACATGCCTATATGCGGTTTGACAGATGTGTTTCTCTATGGTAACTTTAACATAAATAATGATAGTTGTTCAACAAAAAAATAAGTCAAGCTGTGTGTGGCAGCACATGCCTGCAATCCCAGTATTAGGGGCTGAATCAGAAGGACTGAGTTTGAGGCCTGCTTAGGTTGCATAAAGAGCTAGAAACCATTCTAGGCTATATTAGTAAGACCTGACTTAAAGAAAAAAAAGGGGGGGGCCAGCTGGTGGTGGTTCACACCTTTAATTCCAGCATTCTGGAGGCAGAGGCAGGCAGATCTCTGTGAGTTCGAGGCCAGCTCTACTAAGTGAGTTTTGGACCAGTCTCCAAAGCCACAGAGAAACCCCCCCCAAAAAAGGGGGGGGGAAGAAGAGAAAATCTTCTATAAAGGATTTCTATTTTAGGCCCTGACTATTAGCATTTAGTATATAAAGTAACAGTCTTAGTATACTGATTTTATCTGTTATAGGTAGTTATTGACTCTATAGCAAACTTCCGTGTCTTTCCTATAGCATGAGTTCTAATAGGCCTTAATACTGAAGAACTGGAGTCAGATAAGGGGGAAAATGCTAAAAGATCAGAGAGACAAAGGAGCAAGCCACAGCCACCTTTACCTCACTAACATGCCAGCCAAAAAGAGACTGAGCTCCTGTCTCATCCCACCTTATCACTTCCTCTCTCTGCGCAGCCATATCACTTCCTTCTGTCTGTACAGACCTCCAGACCTCTATAGTAACTAGCTCTGCCCCCTGTTCTTCAGCAAACTTTATTTGTTAGAGTATAAACAATGAGGTATCACTGCATTTAACAGTACTGAAAATTGTGTATTGTGCCAATACCAATTATTTTCTTTAAATTCCTTCTCTTTCAGTAAAAGGTGGAAAAGCTTTTCATCCAACTTATGAAGAAAAACTGAAGTTTGTGGCACTGCATAAGCAGGTTCTCTTGGGCCCATATAACCCAGACACTTGCCCTGAAGTTGGATTCTTTGATGTATTGGGGAATGATAGGAGGTAAGTGTTTCCTTCCTTCCTTCCTTTTCTTTCTTTCTTTTGGTTTTTTGAGACAGGCTTTCTCTGTGTAACAGCCCTGGCTGTCCTGGAACTCACTTTGTAGACCACGATGGCCTTGAACTCATGAAGATCCACCTGCCTCTGCCTCCCAAGTGCTGGGATTAAAGGTATGCGCTGCCACCACCTGGCCAACAAGTGATTTCTTATTTAGTAAATTTAATAATGATGTTAGAAAGAGGCATAATGTGAATTGTTTATGGTGTAAATTGTTAACTCTTAGCATAGCAACTGAAACATTCACTTTGCTCATAATGGAACAAGTTTACTTATCTGGTTATGAACATATGATAAGTACAATGTCATCTGACTTCTTCCTAAATAATATTAAAAACAGCTGTTTAAAACACGAACTACTGGGACTGACGGGATGGTTCAGCTGTTAAGAATCAACCATTTATAGTTCCAGTTTCAGGGTATCTGAGGCTCTCCTCTGTCCTCTGAGGGCACCAGGCTATGAGTGGTGCACAGACAAACATGTAGGCAAAACTACCATCAGCATAAAACTAGATAAAAAATAAAATGCATACTATTGATTCCCTTATTGAGACATACATAATACTCCAGAAAATGGAGTATTTTTTGTTCAGTTCAAACTGTACTATATAAAGAAGATAAAATATAGATTGTTTTTGACAAGTGTGAATAATCAAAATGCATTTATATTTTGGATTGTTTATGACATCTTATTTAATATATCAATATAGATTTGTTGAGACTTGACATTCTGAATTTTTTGCTTTTAGTAAGCATATTTCATTTTAATTGCAGTAGATTATTTTTCATGTAGGTTTAATTAAATAAGAGTATCATTTGGCTAAGGGAAGGTAACAGTTCTTTTTATTCTTTGCAGGAGAGAATGGGCAGCCCTGGGAAACATGTCCAAAGAGGATGCCATGGTAGAGTTTGTGAAGCTTCTAAATAGGTGTTGTCCTCTCCTTTCAGCATATGTTGCCTCCCACAGAATAGAGAAGGAAGAAGAAGAAAAAAGAAGGTGATGTTACAGGGCACGGTAGTGGGGCAGTGTGCTAGGCACTGGTGCTTTTGCCTTGTGGAGCGTTTGTTCTAGATCAGGTGTCTGTCTTCTGTTCCTCACTTCCACTTCTTGGGCAGTTTTCCAAAACTCCTGATGCGAGTAAGTTTTCCTGTAAGTTTGGAAGAAAGGGGGCTGCTTCCTCTGGTTATGCCCTTGAAATGAACCTTCCGTCTACAGCAGCATTCTTTTTTTTTTTTTTTTTTTCTGAGGCAGAGTCTTGCTGTATAGTCCAGACTGGCCTCCTGAGAGCTGGGATTACACATGTGTATTACCACCCCTGGCTACTTTTGTCTTACTACTACAAGCTCAACAATAGATTCATCCACTCCTCCCTTTTTTCTGGTCTGATATATCATTTGCTTCTGTCTTCTGGAGTGTTCCTATTCTATTTCATGGTTTTTAGCTATGCTGCATGGAGGGCTTACACAGACATATGTGTTGGCTTTGGATTCTAGACGGCTTATTAATTATTTCCAGCATTTGGAGTAGATGCTGCTGTGCTCATAGAATTGTGTTTCTGAGATTCTCTGTTGTTGTCATGAATTACACCTTGGTTTGGTATGTGACACACAACTTCTTGTGCACCACCCTACCAGTGCCCTAACCTTCCACCTCCGTTATTTTGAGGTTTTGTTGTTGTTTAACAACTTTGACATCTAAATGTCCTTGGTAATGCAATCAGTACAGTAAAGACTAACCCTGATGCTTCTTGAATTGATGGACTTTAGAAATACCTGGGGCTCTGATTTCCTACTCATCCTAGGGGCTGGAGAGATGAGCCAGTGGTTAAGAGCACTGGCTGCTCTTCCAGAGTCTTGGGTTCAATTCCCAGCACTCATGTAGAGGAGACTCACAGCCATCTGTAACTCCAGTTCCACCCTCTCCTGGCTTCTGTGAATGCCAGGCAAGCAAGTCGTTCACAGATACACATATAAACAAAGTAACTATATACATAAAGTAAAAATTAAACTAAAAATTTAGGAGAAAAATAGCCTGAGAGCTAGAGAATGATAAAAGTGCCTTGCTTCATGACATATGCCCTGTAATTCTGGTATTTGGAAGGCAGAGGCCAAAGATTCCTCAAAATTCAAGACCAGTCAGGTCTGCAGAGCAAGTTGTAGAGCAGCCAGGGATACATAGTGACATACCTTGCCCCAAACAACAAACAAACCAACCCAGGAACATAAATTACTTTTTTTGTTGTTGTTTTTTTTGTTTTTTGAGACAGGGTTTCTTCTGTGGCAATCGAGGCTGTCTGTCCTGGAACTAGCTCTTGTAGACCAGGCTGGTCTCGAACTCAGAAATGATTATTCTTGACGTAGTCACATACAATGTGAGATTGACTCCATATTTTATGTTTCTACTATATGGAAGTTTATGTATTTGAACTTTTGACAGATTGCTATTCTCAGAAAAGGGTTTTATCTTATTTTTCACTGGGAAGTGAAAATTAAATGATTTAAAAATAAGATCACAGCCGGGCAGTGATGGCGCACGCCTTTAATCCCAGCACTCGGGAGGCAGAGGCAGGCGGATCTCTGTGAGTTCGAGACCAGCCTGGTCTACAGAGCGAGTTCCAGGACAGCCTCCAAACCCTGTTTCGAAAAACCAGAAAAACCCAAACAAATAAATAAATAAGATCACTGTGCTGAGTTCATTTTCTTTGCCCTGTACCTTGTAGGAAGGCGGAGGAAGAGCGAAGGCAGCGTGAAGAGGAAGAGCGAGAGCGTCTGCAAAAGGAAGAAGAGAAGCGGAAGCGTGAGGAGGAGGAAAGGCTTCGACGGGAGGAAGAAGAGAGGAGGCGAATAGAAGAAGAGAGGCTTCGGCTGGAGCAGCAAAAGTGAGTTGTGTCTGTGTGCCTGGGAATCACTCATGTCAGCTCCTTTCATTTTGAACAGTGGCTTTTGTTTTTTTATCGAGGAATAATGTGTTGAAGAAATTGGGGTTAGCTTGTAAAGCTGAGAGAGAGACTGGGAGCAGCAGTTGAGGTTGCTCAGTTGCTCTGTCTTGAATCTGGTGTCTTAAGTTCTCACAAGCTCTTGTCTTCTTAGTCTGTCTCTCTGTTCTCACTGCTGTCTACAGTTTCTGTTCTTTGTCTTTATAAGGCTGTCTTACCTGGGAATTTTGTCATCTGTTTTTTGTGTATCTGCGAGGCTGGCTAGAGTCTGAGGCCCAGTTATAATTCTGAGGACTTAGAGCCGAGCTAACGTGTGTATATCAGATAGCCATTCCAGCCCCAGTACAGAACCTGAAATGTCTTTATTCACTAAAGGCTAAAGGTAGCTGTCTCAGAAAGGTCTGGCTTTTCAAAGGGCAGTTGTAGATACAAAGAGGTAAACACAGGAGAGAAGGCCTGGGGATCCAGGGATAGCATGGCAGAAAAGTTAAACCCGAGAACTTGAGGTGCTTTGAGGTCTCCTCATTGTTTCCAGCTAGTTTCTCAGGTAGCCTCAAAGTGATTTATAACCTTGTTCTACTTCAGAGCAAGGTTTTTTGCTTTTTTGTTTTGTTTTGGTTTGGTTTGGTTTGGTTTGGTTTGGTTTGGTTTTTCAAGACGTGGTTTCTCTGTGGCTTTGGAGCCCGTCTTGGAACTGACTCTGTAGACCATGCTGGCCTCAAACTCACAGAGATCTGCCAGCCTCTGCCTCCCGAGTGCTGGGATTAAAGGCATGCGCCACCAACGCCTGGTCGGAGTGAGGTTTATAATGTCATTCTCTTGGATTTGGTAGACCCAGTGTCATGCTTTAGTCAGTATCTGAAGTCTTTGGTAAGTGGTCTCATACAGTTATGAACCATGTAGTTGTCTCTGAACCACAAGAATGAGGGTTATAATAATTCTATAGAAGTTGATGTCTTCATACCAGGTGCAGCAGTGTATATCTGTGATCCCAACACTTCAGAGCCTGAGTCCAGGCCAGCCTGGACTCTATACAATATGACCCCTTGGAGAGAGGGAGGGAAGAAGGGAGAAACCACTAAACCAAGCAGCATGCCCTGCTGCTGTTACTTTCAGGGCTTCTTCATAAAGGCATCTTTAAGTCAAATGCTACAGACTGTTGTGTTGTCACAGATCCTGTAACATCAATTACCTGTTCTCTTCTCTGGTTCTGTTCTGGGCTGTTTAGATAGAGAAACCATAGCCAAAGTTAAACACCCATCTGTGCCCAAGTAGGAGTCTGTCATCTTACGGTGAATTGATGCAGTTTCTGGAGCCAGACTAGCTAGATTTGAGTCTAGCTAGATTTGAGTCCTAGCTCCCGAATCTGACTACAGTCAGATCTTGGGCAATTGCTAACCAACCTCATGGTGTAAACGCTAACCCTTGCGGGGCACATCACAAGAGCACAGTAAGTGTTGATGATGATGTTGACGGTAGTGATGTGCTCGGTAGTCTCCATTTCAATTTTTCTTGGAAACCTAAGTAAAAAGCTAGAGGTCAGTTTTTTCCTTAAATATTCTGGGCCTGGAGCACATGCTTTTTGTTAAACTTTATTAGTTTAGTCATTTTAAGTTATAAACTAAGAATGTTACGTACGGACAGTCTCCTGTCGTCAGCCTGGCGTGTATCTATTCATGTTTTTAGGCAGCAGATAATGGCAGCTTTAAACTCGCAGACTGCCGTGCAGTTCCAGCAGTATGCAGCCCAGCAGTACCCAGGGAACTACGAACAGCAGCAGATCCTCATCCGCCAGCTGCAGGAGCAGCACTATCAGCAGTACATGCAACAGTTGTACCAAGTTCAGCTTGCACAGCAGCAGGTATGATGGAGCTTTAGCAAAGGGGTGGTGTTTCCATGGAACCCACATTCTCCTAACAGTTGTAAATGAACTTTTCATTAGCTAGCCTCTAAGTTATAAAGTAACTTTTTAGTTGATCTTTTAGGCAGTCTATTTAGCACTGTACTGGAAGTTACAAGAGAAAATACAGACTCTTGAACCTCAGAGGTATAATTTGCTATTGTTTTGGGTTTTTATGTTTACATTGTTGTATGGGAGTGGTATAGGTCTACTGTAATAACAGTGAGTCTCGTATGGCCTGTAGTAGTGCCCTTGGATCTGAGGACCTGTGTAACTAGCCTTAGTGTAAGAACGTCCTTCAGGCAAAACATGCAGGGTCTAGGTCAGACAGCTTTAAGGGGCTGGACTTCCCGCCCATTAGGCCATAGGCTGGTTCCTCAAAGCTGGGCCAGATCCATTATTACTCATGACAGCATGTACTCCTTCTCCAGCATCCCATTCCTAAATATTTGCTTCAACGTTTAGATAGTTTGAGCTGGAGAAATGGCTCAGCTGTTGAAGGCCAGGTTCACAACCAGAAATATAGAAGGCGGTTTAAGTGAAAGAAATGGTACTTGCATTCTGTCCTGACTCTGCCATTATCATTTGATTTTCTGACATGTTACTGTTGCTCTGATTTCCTGCTTTTTCTCAAGTTCTGTGAGAATAAGACACAAGATCAAGGTTTCTGACCTCACAGGATTAAAAAAGGAAGAGTGGATAATAGCTAGACCTAGTGGTATAAACCTGTAATAACTACCCAGGTGGCTGAGAGTTCATACTAGCCTGGGCAGATTTAGAAGTGGACGAGGGAGAGAGAGGTGGGGGTGGGGTGTAAGAAGCTAAATTAATTGATTTATAAGTGCTTACCATATTGGGCTGTGACACTTTTTGACAGACAAAATCAGCATACACACATTATTCATTATATAGTAGTAAATATATATATTTTTTCCAAGACAGGGTTTCTCTGTATTGTTTTGGAGGCTGTCCTGGAACTCACTCTGTAGACCAGGCTGGCCTCGAACTCACAGAGATCCGCCTGCCTCTGCCTCCCAAGTGCTGGCATTAAAGGCGTGCGCCACCAACGCCCGGCTAGTAGTAAATATTTTTTAGGACAGTAGAACACTGTTAAGTGAAATAACCTCTCTCCCTTAGTTTTAGAAATCAGTGAGATGTTAGAAGGTCGTAAAGGTTCCATATAATCCATGAGAGGGTCAGAAAGGTACTAAACCACAGTTTAATAAGCATCATTTTTGAGAGATGTTTCTCCCTCTTCTATAGTCTGTTTCTATTTTACCTTTCCCTGCCATGGGGAGTGTTAAGAGAAGCTTTCCTTGAGTGGAGCCTTTCCGCCCGCCTGGTTCTAGATCCGCAATAGTCCCAAATAAACACACAGGAGGCTATATTAATTATGAAGCTGTTGGCCTTGCTTGTCTCTTACTGGCTAGCTCTGCCTTAAGTAATTACCCCATAATTGTTAATCTAAGTATTTCTCTTACCGGAGAATAGTTCCAGGCTTCCTACCCCATGGCGTTACATCTTGACTCTCTGTGTTCCTCCTTCCCAGAATCCTCCTGGACTCCTAGTCCCTCCTATCTAGATTTCTATTGGCTCAACAGTATTTATTAACAAATGTACAGGACTTCCCCCATCAGGGGGGGTAATAGGCAGTGAGATAGGATTGCTGTTATATACTGTCTTGTTCATAGGCACTGTTACTTTATGAGGAGGAAGTCTTTCTGGTAGGATAAATCCAAGAAATGGAATTAGAAGTCTCAGAATTAGTATTATCAACTCTAATTGGTTGCTTCTGGGAATAGATAGGCATAGAAGGCTATCTGAGAATTCAGCCTTACAATTTCATTACCACTCAAGTTCTTTTCTTAACAGTTACTAATGAATTTTACATAAGAGGAAGGAAGAATTTAACTCTTAAAGCATGACTTACTATGCTGGTGTCTGCTCTGTGTCTGTTCCTGTACCTTTCTGCTTTTGTTTTTAAGACAGGGTCTTGTGTAGCTGAGGCGGAGATTCAAACCCTGCCTCCCAGGTGCTGGGCCTACAAAGCATGCATGACTATACCCAGCTCCTCTGTGCTTTTTAATAAAGAGAGCTATGTAAATCATTGCAGCCTGCTGTATCTATTAGATAAAAGTCCTGGGCAGTGGGATCCAGAGAAGGGGCTATTGATTTTACTGCAGAGTTTCAAGATACGATTAGCTCCAAGAATACTTTCTCCTCCTCCACCATCTTGTAATGTTTTCACTGACTCCTTTTGGTTATATGTATATGTCTGATAGCTGGTGCTTTTTTTTTCCTTTAACCTTGAAAGTGATTTAGAGTATATTTTTAAAATCTTATGTTTTGGCTGGGTAATGGTGTCACACACCTTTAATCCCAGCACTCAGGAGGCAGAGGCAGGTGGATATCCATGAGTTTGAGGCTAACCTGATCTACAAAGCTAGTTTCAAGACAGCAGGGATACACAGAGAAACTCTGTCTTGAAAAACAACCACACAAAAAATACCATGTTTTATATAGCAGCAGAGAGAAATGTTTTTCCTGTAGAAATGATTTCTTGTATGAATTATATGTACAAATAGGCCAGCATACGTGTCTCTCTTAGTAATCCCGTAAACATATACTTATGTATGATTTAATGTTTTTTGTTAAAAGAGTAGTGTCAATCCTTGGCCTTCTCATAGAGGCAAAGTGTTTAAAAAGTACTTATGCTGTCATCTTTGTTTATTATACACAGCAAAGTCAGCACCACAGTCATTCAGGACTTTGTCTGCTTCCCACATACATTCCCAAATGCCAATGAATAGTTGTATGGATAAAATTTATATTTTCACAGTGCAATATTCCGTAGCACTAAAAACAAAATGTACTTATTTGTGATCCTTATAGATAGGCCTTGCAAAATTACTATTAAGGGACCACACATGGTGGTGCATGTCTTTAAACCCAGCACTGCAGAGGCAGAAACAGAGGCTGGTGGGTCTCTCTCTGATTTTCAGACCAGCCAAGGTTGCATAGTGAGACTCTGTCTTTTTATTTAATAAATTTTTTAAAAAGATTTGTTTTAGCTGGGCATTGGTGGCACCTTTGATCCCAGCACACGGGAGGCAGAGGCAGGCGGATCTCTGTGAGTTCGAGGCCAGCCTGGTCTACAGAATGAGTTCCAGGACAACCTCCAAAGCAATACAGAGAAACCCTGTCTCGAAAAATCAAACTATTTGTTTTGTTTTTTTGAGACATGGTGTCTCTGTGTATCCCAGGCTGTCCTGGAACTCGCTCTATAGACCAGGCTGACCTTGAATTCAAAGAGATCTGCCTGTCTCTGCCTCTTGAGTGCTGAGATTAAAGGTATGAGTCAACACTGTCTAGCTATTTTTTTTTTTTTTGGTTTGTTTTTTGGTTTTTCTTTTTTTTTTTTTCTTTTTTTTTGGTTTTTCAAGACAGGGTTTCTCTTTGGAGTCTGTCCTGGAACTCGCTTAGTAGATCAGGCTGGTTGGCTTCAAACCCACAGAGATCCACCTGCCTCTGTGTCCCAAGTGCTGAGATTAAAGGCTCTCTCTCCTTTTGTTATTTTTTATATTAAAGGAAAGGGCAGACTTTTTTCTTAAAGTATATATTATACAATGATTTACATATGATTTTAAAGTAGGCAAAGCATATCTATAGTTATTAAGTCTGAAAAATACTGTTGGAGAAGGTGTCTAGAGGAAGGAACTAGAGAGGATTCTGGGGAGTAAATAATTTCTTATTCTGGGTGATAGTTACATGAGTGTTTTTGAGATAATGAAAATTGATTAAGCTATATGATTTATGATTTGCACACTTCTAATTGAAATTGGGTCTCATGTAGCCTAGGCTTGCCTCAAATTTACTATGCAGCCAAGACTGACATTGAACATCTTATCTTCCTGCCTCCACACCCCTAGAGTACTGGGATTACAGGCTTAATGATGGGGATGAGTACAGAACTGTATACATGCTTGGCAATCACTGTGTTTGTACATCTTTCTGCAAGTATATTATGATTCACTTTTAAGTTCCTCCAAAAGCTAATAAGGGCTTAAAGAAATGGCTCACTGGATAAGCACATGTACTGATTTTGTAGTTTCCGGCCCCTCCATCAGGTGGCTCAGAAACTGCCTATTAACTCCAGATCTAGGAGATCCAACAACTTGTCTTGGACCTCTGCAGGCACCCAGACTACGTGTACATATCACATACATACATATAGTTTCAAAATGAAATAAATCTTTCTTTAAAAGATAAAAATTACTTAACAGCTTTTTGTTTGTTTTGTTGTTTTTGAGACAGGGTTTCTCTGTGTAGCCCCCCAGCTCTCCTGGAACTCACCCTATAGATCAAGCTGGCCTGGAACTCAGAGATCCTCCTACTCTGTCTTCTGAGTGCTGGGATTAAAAATGTGCATCACCATGCTGGGCTGACTTAATAGGTTTTAAAGTAGCAGTGATAGCTGCTCCCATCTTGATTTGGAAATATCCCCAAATAGGTGTCCTTTAGATTAAACATATTTTCAACTCTCCCTTTTTTGTTTGTCTGTTTTTTGAGACCGGGTTTCTCTTGTGTAGCTTTAGCTGTCCTAGAGCTCATTTTAAGGACCTGGCTGGCCTCAAGCTCAGAGATGAGCCTGCCTCTGCCTCCTGAATGCTGGGACTAAAGGCGTGTGCCACCACATCCAGCTAACTCCCATTTTGATTCAGGACATTTTAGAAAACGTTACTTATTTAGAGTGTTGCCCTTACCATGGTATGCATGTAGACATCAGAGAAGAACCTGCTGGAGCCAGTTTTCTCCTCCCATCATGTGGGTTCCAGAGATCAAACTCAGGTCAGCCAGTTTGGCATCGAGCACTCTTACTTGTTACCCTAGATTCATTTCTGTTGTGATAAAAAAAAACACCCTGAAAATTTAATTGAGGAGAGAAGGAGTTATTTTTAGCTCACAATTCCAGGTTACAGTTCATCAATTTGGGAAAGTCACGGTGGCAGGAGCGTAAGACAGCTGGTCCCATCACTTCTACCATCAAGAGCAGAGAGCAGCGAATGCATAGATGTTGCTTTCAGGACTGGAGAGATGGCTCAATAGTTAAGGACATTGGCAGCTCTTGCAGAGGTCTTGAGTTCAGTGCCTGGCAACCACATGGTGACTCACGCCCATCTATAATGAGATCTGATGTCCTCTTCTAGCCTGCAGGTATACATGCAGATAGAGCACCATATACATAAAACAATAAATTAGTCTTTTAAAAAGCAAACAAAAAGAGATGTTGCTTTAGCTGAGTTTTTGCCAGCCCTCAGGAAAAATTTGTTTCTGGAAGACTTTGTGTACATGGGTGTTTTACCTGAATGTATGTCTATGCATGTATACATGCCTGGTTTCTGCATAGGCCCGAAGAGGTCATCAGAATCCCGGATCTAAGTCGTGGATGGTTGTGAGCCACCATGTGAATGTTGGGAACTGAGTCTGGGTCTTTTGTAATAGTAGTTAGTGCTATTAGTCACTTAACCATCTCTCCAGCTCTTATAATCTAAATACATACTAGTTTGATAGTACACATGCTGAGGAATGTCAGGAAAATATTATGCCTTTGTTTTCCATAAATAAGCAATTTTATTTAAGTACAGAAAACTGTGTGTGTGCTATAAAAACACTGCAGTTTATAACAAAATAATCTTGAGTTTGAGCCAAGGTGTATCAGGCAACTTTCATTGGTATTTTATGTCAAGACAGCAAAGTGTATGTATGTGTTGTGTGTTCAGAACCAAGACTATGGAAGTAGCCTTAATGTAGCACTGTTGGAAACACCTCAGATTTATTATACTTTGATTTTGAATGAGTTTGTAGTCCTCGTGCATTCGGAAACCTTGTACTGTTACCAGATTTTTTGTGACCCCCCTCCCATGTTCAGTTATGTGACTCCTGTATGAGTTTGTAACACAGTGCTAGGCAACACTGTACCAGTAAGAGCTATATTCTCAGCCCTCTTTTTTTGCTTTGAGACAGGATCTCATTAAGTTGCCCTGGTTGGCATAGAACTCATTCAGTATCTCAGTCTGTTCTTGAACTTGAGTCTTCCTGCCTCAGCTTTCTGAATGTGTGGAGCTAACTGGCCCATGCCAGTGGAACTAGCAAATTTCTTTTCTTTGTACACTCTCTTTCCCTGCCCTGATGCATAAATCAGTCTGGCTTCAAACTCAAGATCCTGCTGTTCAGCCTCCCTCGTGCTAGGATTGTAGGTGTGTACCGCTGTACCCAGCCCAGTATAAAATGTTAAGTGAGGAAACACTTGGACTTCTAGCTTCATTATTATAACCCTTAGGTTTTAAACAGTTTTATTATATTAGTTAGAGCCTGAGGCATGTGATTGGATGGATGAGCACCTGCTGAGGCTAACATTGGGCTCTGGGTTTGCTCTCTAACATCCTAAAACCTAAATTTTAAATTTTTAAAAAATTTGTGAGCATAATCTTTCATTGAATATTTATTTCTATCCATATTAGAATAGTCGTCTTATATATGAAGGTTGGGTTTGTTACTTTAGACATTTGTTGTAGTCACCAATGAACAGCTTCTATTTTTGTGAATCTTCTGTGGTCATTTGTTTCTTTGAGGTATAATTTTCCTAATTTAAATTTTCAGCAGTTAAGGGTGAGGATGGGGAGAGTAAAGTGGTTAGGTTTTTGTTGTTGTTTTCTACTTCAGCCTGTGAGTGCTGTGCTTGGTGCAGGCATACTTAGCATACCCAGTTTTGTAGTTTGAAAGGGTTTCAGTGTGTATCCCTGGTTGGCCTAGCATTCATTATGTAGATCAGGCTAGCCTCAAACTCACAGAGATCTGCCTGACTCTGCCTTCTGAGTGCCAGTATTAATGATGTGTGCCATTATGCCCTATATGTAGTTGAATTTTTTGTTTGTTTGTTTTGTTTTGTTTTTGGTTTTTTTGAGACAGGGTTTCTCTGTGGCTTTGGAGGCTGTCCTGGAACTCGCTTGGTAGTCCAGGCTGGTCTCGAACTCACAGAGATCCGCCTGCCTCTGCCTCCCGAGTGCTGGGAATGTAGTTGAATTTTATTTTTTAAAATAAACAAAAAACATTTTCTTCTCCTCAGTTTTGTTTTTTCGAGACAGGGTTTCTCTGTGGCTTTGGAGGCTGTCCTGGGATTCGCTCTGTAGACCAGGCTGGCCTCGAACTCACAGAGATCCGCCTGCCTCTGCCTCCCTAGTGCTGGATTAAAGGCGTGCACAACCAACGCCCGGCTCTTCTCAGTTTTAAGAATATATATATATATATATGTATTAAGAAGATATATATATATATATATATATCACAGCTGGGCATGGTGACACATGCCCTTAGAAGGCAGTGGCATGCTACGGTACTTAATTTTGCCTTTAGTAATTTTATCTGAGATTGAGTTTAATCATGTTTAGTTGTCAACTGGTAGTATATTAATATTTATTACAGATATGATAAAAACTGGCAAAGTTAATTAGTAATTTCTTAGCATGCTTTAGTGTAGAGTGAATGCGTGCGTCACACCTCACTCCTGGTAGTGTTAGCCTTTCTGATGAGAGGATCTTAACTTCTTCTCAATTTGTAGGCAGCATTACAGAAGCAACAAGAAGTAGCAGTGACTGGGGCCTCATTGCCTACATCATCAAAAGTGAATGCAACTGGAGCAAGTGACATGATGTCAGTTAATGGACAGGCCAAAACCCACACTGTCAATTCTGAAAAAGAAACTGAGCCAGAAGTGGCAGAAGAAGCCTTGGAAAATGGACCAAAAGGTATAGTTTAGCATATCTGTTTGTCCATCCAGAAGTCATTCTCTAGACCTCATGAAAAGCAAAAACCAGGAAGACTGGTTCTGACTGGGTTCTGAGAGCACTTACATGTGCGCTGTTGACACAGACATAGAATATCGGGGCTGGGGATAGGTTTAGTTGCTTAACATTCACGAAGCCCTGGGTTCCATTTGAAGCAGCACATAAAACTGGGTGTGGTGCTACATGCCCGTTATCTATCCTAGCAGAAATTTGTTCCTTTAGACATCTGTCAGAGTCACCAATTACAGCTCCTAGTTCTGGGACTGTTCTGTGACCATTAGTTTCTTTAAAGTATAATTTTCCTAACTTTAATTTTAGGCAGTTGAGGATGGGGGAAATTCAAATAGGGTTCTTGTTGTTGTTATTTGGTTTTGTTTTTTCACTTTAGCCTCTTCGTGCAATGATGGATCTAAGCATACTTAGCCAAGGAAGATTCCTGAAACCCATTCTGCTCTTCCTTGACTTTTTAGAACAAGTAACAGAGAAATAGCTTCAGAAAAGACCTTCTTTGGTCTCTTACCAGAGTTTATGCCACTATTTGTTTCACATTAGTTCGTTTATTCTGTGTATGTATGTGCACACACAAGGAGGTCAGAAGAGAACTTGCAAAATTGTTTTTTCTCCCTCTAGTGTGTGGATTCTGATGAATAAGCTCAAGTTCTCAAGCTTGGTGGCAGTGCCTTTACCTGCTGAGGCATCTCATGGGATTTTGTTTTGTTTTGTTTTGTTTTTGATTTGAGACAGCATTTCACTATGTAGCTCTGGCTGGCCTCCAACTCAGAGACATCTATCTGCTTCTGCTGCAGTGTGTGTGCTGGGATTAAAGGCATGCTCCACCACAACTCTTGTTTTGTTTTGGGACAGCTCAGGGTAGTCGTAAGCTCCCTGTGCTAAGATGACTTTGAACTCCACATCCTAGTTTGTGTAGTGCTAGTAATTGGTCCAGGGATCTGTGAGTGCCAGGCAAGCACTCTCAGTTGAGCTACAGCCCTGCCAGTGTTTACAAATGGGAGGAAATCCTTTTGTTAGTAAGTCTGACTAATTTAAGTGGAAAATCTGCTGCCTGCGGCAGTACACGTGACATTTGTCCCTCCCAGGTGGTTCTAAGATTGTTCAGGGTTTTCTTTTTCTCTTAGCTCTTTTCAGAAAGGCCTTAGGACCTCAGGATGCTCCAGATTAAGACTTCTCAACACATAGAGTGAAATGAAAGCAGAGTGTTAGGAGAAATCACTTGTAAGATTGTGCTGTGATGATCTCCGAATAGCTGACCTTGGATTTTATAATAACCACAGAGGCTTTTCTGTTCCCCTCCATCTTTGGTCTGAGCTATTTGTCCTTGGTGTCAGAACACAGGTGCCCTGTGCAGGTGTAAGAGCCTTTTCTCTTCAGCTTTTGTAAACCCTGTTGCCTTTAGAATCTCTTCCAGTGATTGCAGCTCCATCCATGTGGACAAGACCACAGATCAAAGACTTTAAAGAAAAGATTCGGCAGGATGCAGATTCTGTGATCACAGTACGACGAGGAGAAGTAGTCACCGTTAGAGTCCCCACTCATGAAGAAGGATCATACCTCTTCTGGGAATTTGCTACAGACAGTTATGACATTGGGTTTGGGGTTTATTTTGAGTGGACAGACTCTCCAAATGCTGCTGTCAGCGTGCATGTCAGCGAGTCCAGTGACGACGATGAAGAGGAGGAAGGTAGGGTTTTGTCCATCTCCGGTAGCCATGAGCGTTCTTCTGCTGAACTCTTCGTGTACGAGGGTACTCTATTATTTGGCAACTGGTGGGCAGGAGAGAAACCTGAATACAGTGAAACTAGACTTGGATGTCATGACAGAGAGGAGATAGTATTTTTGAAATGTCACGCGGCTGGGCGTTAGTGGTGGATGCCTTTAATCCCAGCACTCTGGAGGTAGAGGCAGGTGAATCTTTGTGAATTCGAGGCCAGCTGGTCTACAGAGCCAGTTCCAGGACAGCCTCCAAAGCAATACAGAGAAACCCTGTCTCGAAAAACAAAAAACAACAAAAACAAAAAAGTTATTCTTGGAAGTGCATTGAATGGACATGAGTCCATATTACTTTAAAAATAGACCAGTTGCTCTTGGGCCTGGAGAGTCGGCTCAGCAGTTAAGAGCACTGGTTTCTCTCCCACAGGCTCCCAGTTCAAAGTTCAATTCCCAGCCCCACATGACAGCTCACAACTGTCTGTAACTCCAACTGCAGGGAATCCCACACCCTGACACAGACATACATGCAGGCAACATACCATTGTCCATAAGATAATAATTAATTAACTAATTAATTAAAATAAAGTGCTTTTAAATCACATTGCACACTTTGACACCACTGGGTCACATATGGGAGCAAATAGAACAGTTAGACCATAGACATTTATTATGTATTTTAACAATTCATACTAGTCAGTCTGATTTGTTCTATGCCATTTTCTATGTGAGCCATCATAGTGTTCAAGGAATTTCCATACATCCTGCAGATTGACTATCATCCCAGGAAATTCAATTCCTTAATTACTTCACAGGTCCAGGTTTGACCTGGTGAATATCAAAACATTTGCTGTTTTGTCTTGCGTTTCTTCTTCTTCTTCTTCTTCTTCTTCTTCTTCTTCTTCTTCTTCTTCTTCTTCTTCTTCTTCTTCTTCTTCTTCTTCTTCCTCTTCCTCTTCCTCTTCCTCTTCCTCTTCCTCTTCTTTTTTTTTTTTTAAGGCTAGGTACCACTGTGTTGCCCTGACTATTCTAGAACTCATTACGTAGACCAGACTGGCCTCAAACTCAAAGAAATCTACCTGCATCTGCCTGCTAAGTGCTGTGATTAAAGTGTGCACCACCACCTCTGGCTTGGCATTTTGTTGTTTTTAAGATTTTTTTTTTTAAGCCAGGCAGTGGTGGTGCATGCCTTTAATCCCAGCACTCGGGAGGCAGAGGCAGGCAGATATCTGAGTTTGAGACCAAACTAGTCTACAGAGATAGTTCCAGGATAGCCAGGAATATGCAGAGAAAGCCTGTCTCAAAAAAGAAGGAAAGCTTGTGTTTGTCTGAAAGAGCTTTGTGACCACCATATAAGAATCTTGCTGAAGGGTATTTTCAGTGGTAGGGTTTATGTTCTGTATATAAAAGAGCCCAACACTGTGGAAATAAAAATGGAAAAGAGACAAAGTTAGTTCTTAGCTCTGGCCAGATGTGATTGCTCTCACCTGTAATCTCAGCACTGAGGAGGCTGAGGTTGGAAGATCATGATGTGTTTGAGGCTAGTTTGGACTATATAGTGAATTCCAGTTCAGCCTGGCCTACTAAGAGAGACTATGTCTCAAAAACCTAAGGGGAAAGGGCTGGAGAGATGGCTCAGCAACTAGGAGCATTCCCTTTAGCAGAGGACGCAGGCTTGATTCCCAGCACCCACATGGTTGTTTGTAACCGCCCATAACTACATCCAGAGGAACCAGTGTCCTCCTCTGGCTTCTGCCAGCACCAGGCATGCACTCTTGTACATGTATACATGCAGGTCAGAGCCCCATACACATACAATAAATAAATCTTTTCTAAAAAGTAAGGAGGAGGAAAATAAGTTGCTCTGAGGTTTGGTTAATGTTCTTCTGCCTTGCCCATTAGAATTTTTTTTTAATTACTTTTTGTTCTGAACCCCTGACTGATAACAGTTTTGGGGTTATTGACATTGGGGCAATAACTGGTAAAGGGAGCTGGAGTGATGGATGGCTCTTCCTGCTCTTACAGAGGACTCAGGTTCAGTTCCCACCACTGATGGGCTCTGAACTGCCTGCAACTTCAGTTCCAGGGTTTGGACACCCCCATCCGGCTCCACACACCTGATTGTATATGGTATACATACTGACAAGTAGGTATACGCACACACAAATAAAAATTAAAATATAAGGGAATTTTAAGCTTAAAAAGAACTGGTAAAAGATAGCTGAGGTCCTTGACCTTAGCTCTACTGTGTGTGTCTCGAGGAGAAAATGGCATTGCCTACCCATATTCCATTCCTGGAGCTCACTTTGTAGACCAGACCTGCCCCGGTTTCCCTTGGGATAGAATTGTAGGCATGAGCCACTTTTCTACATCTCCTACCTTTTTTGGGAGGGTAGAGGGTTGTTTTGGTTTGGTTTCTTCAAGACAGGGTTTCTCTGTGTAACAGTTCTGGCTGTCCTGGAACTCACTCTGTAGACCAGGCTGGCCTAAAACTCACAGAGATCCACCTGCCTCTGCCTCTTGAGTACTGGGATTAAAGGTGTGCACCACCACTGCCTGGCATTTTTAACTTATTAAATTGTACATTGTATTTATCTTTTTTTTCTTCACGTTTATTTATTCAGTATTTAATATATATGAGTGCCCTGTCTGCATGTACACCAGCATGCCAGAAGAGGGGATCAGATCCCACTATAGATGGTTGTGAGCTACCATGTGGTTGCTGAGAATTAAACCTGGGTCCTCTGGAACTAACTCTTGTAGACCAGGCTGGTCTTGAACTCACAGAGATCCGCCTGCCTCTGCCTCCCGAGTGCTGGGATTAAAGCTACAGCTAATTTCTTAACAACTAAGCCATCTCTCCAATCTTCAATATATTTATCTTTGTTGTTGTTGTTTTTTGTTTTTTTCTGAGACAGGGTTTCTCTGTATTGTTTTGGAGGCTGTCCTGCAACTCGCTCTGTAGACCAGGCTGGCCACGAACTTGCAGAGATCTGCCTGCATCTGCCTCCCCAGTGCTGGGATTAAAGGCATGCACCAGCAACACCCAGTAATATGTTTATCTTAATGAACCAATATTGATAATGGTGTTGGTAAATTTGTCTGTCAGATTTTATTTGTTTTTAGTTTTTAACTAATGTTCCAAGATCTATTCCAAGGTGCCACATAACATAATTGGTCCTATTTCCTCAAATTCCCCTTGAGAGTTTCTCATGCTTTTAAAATTCCTGACTGTGGCCATTGACATACAATTAATAGATGTTGCCAGGATTTACTCTGCCATGTTATAAACCTGACAGTCTTTTATCTTCTATGCTGAAGTTCCATTGACCTCTTTTCCTTGAGGTTGTTTATATATAATATCTTAGACTGAGACAATTTGGCATAATTATCTCATTCTTACAAGCTTCTAGAAGTGTTTTCCCCCATCTTGGTACCATTATAGCCAATAAAACTAGTAACAGTAACAGTCTGTGATCAGAGCTGATTTTTTTATCTGTTTGTATCATCTTTGTGTTAAACAGGCTTAGTTGAAATAATTGAATTTGTGGCTGTGTCTGAATGCCTCACTACTGGGGTTTGTATATTAAGATACACAGAAATAGTTGTCTGCCCAGGCTCCCTTCCACTGTTTCTAAAGTGATGGTGGCCTCATTGTGGAAGAGATCAGCATAGCATTGTCTTTGGTGTTTCATGAGCAAGATAGTTTTATGTAAGTAGGAGTTAGGAATTGAGTGGATATGGCATGGGAAAAATAAGGCTGGGAAATGTGAGCAGTGATAACCTAAAGGACTAGGGTACAGGTTGTTACCCTACCTGACATTTGTCACTGGACTCCAGAGCCCAGCACCTGTGCATAGTGGGATCAGGCACTCAAGTGACTAATGCATGCCTTGGTGCAAGAGTTGGAGACTTAATTCCTAACAGATTCTCAGAGAGTGCAGTTTCATTGCTTGATGCATAAGGTGATTTTCCTGGATCTATCATTTGACTTATGTCTGTTTTTCCCTTTCTCACAGAAAATGTCACTTGTGAAGAGAAAGCCAAAAAGAATGCCAACAAGCCTCTGTTGGATGAGATTGTGCCTGTGTACCGGCGGGACTGTCATGAGGAAGTGTATGCAGGCAGCCACCAGTATCCAGGGAGGGGAGTCTATCTCCTCAAGTTTGATAACTCCTACTCCTTGTGGAGGTCCAAGTCAGTCTACTACAGAGTCTATTACACTAGATAAAGCTGATGTTACAGAGCCTGGAGTCTTAAGACTGGACAGAAGATGACATTAATTTCTTTTGACTTTGGTGGCGCATTGGAGTCAGTGTTTACCTTCTTGATTTTGTTCTGATGGCTTGTGAACTCTTTCTGGGAACCAGGATTGTCTGAGACTCTAGCATTGATGCTCTGAGGTTAAAAACAGTTCGGAAGACTCGTCTAGCCCATGGGTGCTGACCAGCAGAGCCACTAGTGGATACTGGAGTTACGTGAGCTACGTGCTAGATACTCAGCCTCCAAAATAAACATCCCAGGGTCAACCCAACCTGGCTGGTGTTAGTCCATTGCTGTCTGCTCCGCGTTCTCCCAGAGCCCACAGGTACAGCACTATTAGGAATGCTGCTGTTGTAGTCTACATCAGCTTTGATTGAAACTCAACAATTTGAAACTTAAAAACTCAAGACTTCATGGATTATAGTAGAAAAAGAAATGACCTCAACTTGGTCTTACCTGAGTGACCCAGGTTGTTTTTGCTTTGGATACAGCTATTTAGTTAGTTATGTTACAGAGAATTATTTTCTGAGAGAATCTTAAACTTAGACTATTCAAACTCAGTAGATAATTGACATGTAAAGATACATAGGACAGCTAAGCACCCTTTCTACAGGTCCCTCCGACTCTCAGGCCTTTTCTTCATTTACCATTCACACTACTGCTAACGAAACTAGTTGGATTTTTGTTTTGTTTTGTTTTTGATATAGCTTTGAAACATCTCAAATTGAACTTATTTTGTGTAAAAAGCATACAGCCAGGAGTTTTATGAACTCATATTGGCACCTACTGAATTAAAATATGCAAAAGCATTTAATGTAATTCAGCATTTGAGGAGTACCTTCGCACTAATAGAAAATCACTGCCAGGGACAGTTCAAATTCCTTCCTATTTATTATTAGGGCACAGACTCCACGATCCCAGTTTGGAATTACATATTAGAGAAAATTGGAAATGCACAGGCCCCTGCTTAGATGTTACAGCTTTAATCTGTAGTGTGTCTTGCTGATGGGAAAAGGTACGTCTTTGGTTTTCTTAGAAAAAAAAATCCATATTCATTATTTCTAATCTGTATAAGTGGTTAAGTATACAGAGGGAGGGTGGGATAGGTAAATAGTGACAGAGACAGTATATGCCTTGTGTTATTTTGTCACTGAAAAACTTAGATTTAGTTTTGACATCACAGACTGCTTCCACCAGGGATCCCATTGGCTAGCTACAGTGTGCACAGTTCACTACAGTCAGGCTGCAGGTGTTCGTCAGCTGCATTTCTTTCTGCTTTTAATACCTGGTTTTATAGGTATTTAAATGTGTTCTCTTTTGGTTGTTAAGAAACTGGATTTTTTTTTCTCCTAACCAGTGCTTAATCTATGTTTTTGAATTTTGATCCAGAAGTAGTCAAATGTCTATGCTGTTACATCCAGAATATTCATTAGGCTGCACCACAGCTCTTATGTATATATAGAAACCACAGAGTTAGAATTTTTTAATGAGAAAAATACTGTATTTAAAATGTAAAATAAACTTTTAAAAAGCAGGCACTAATATATATTTCTTTCAGCCTTTGATTACAGTTTTGTCCTTGCACATATTAAGATAAATTGTCTTCTAGAAATACTGTTCTTGGGAGGGAGCAGTGTATGTCACTTTACATAGCAGTCTATGTCATGCGCTCATATCTGAACATTTTGGTTCTAAACTTTTTTATCACCGTTGGCTGTTGATTAGTACCCGTCCAAGTGCGATTTCAAAAAGATCGTGAAAGTAATATATTTAATCAATTAAAATGTTTATCTGTAACTTGTTGATGTTTCTCTTAATACAGTGCCCTGAAGCTGCATTTAGATAGAATAAGAAGAAAGGCCTTAGATGGTCTTTTCTGTTTGTTTAGTTGAAGAATACCAAACTCTTTCTGATCAGCTAGTTTTCCCTGTGAGTTGCAATGGACTTTCAATGAGAAGTGTGGCTGTTCATCCTAGATGACCAGCTTATAAAGTCATTTTGCAGAGCTGCCCTGTCTGGTCTTTGCTGTGATGTGGGGTGATAGTCTATTTTATAATAGCTCCTGGGGTGTGTAGCCTCTAATTGGTATAGGTGGTCACAGAGCTTAAGACCACACTGGATGCAAGGTACTAGGGTTTGTTTTATGTTTCTGCATTTTGTTTTGTTTTGAAATTTGGAGACAAGTGAGCTGATTATGTTGATAGCCGTGTGGTATACCTTGGTGTCAAACCCAAGAACGGTTAAGGGGAGCTGTTGTGATAGCCGCTTACTCTGGAGGCCGAGCTTGTGTCTTCCTCACCCACCTTACAGAAGAGAAGAAGCAGCTGCATCTAGATCATAAATGGCTGCAGTTGTCTCTGAAGATTAGGATGTGACGCTGTAGCAGCCCAGACCATCTTTGCTTCATTCCAAAGCTTTTCTTTTAATGCAGCCTAAAAATGCATGCCAGTGTATCTATTAGGGGTAGAGCAAATCTTAATTCACTTCTAGTCACAAACTTTTTAAAATGCGTATGAATCAGTAACTAGACGTTAGAATGTTGGCATGTGGCCCAGGCTGGCCTCAGACTTACTATTGTAACCCATGCTGCCTTGAATTCTTCGTCCTCCTGCTTCTGCCCTGAGTGCTGAGAGTATAGATGTGTAAGACTGTACCCAGCCAGTGTCAGACTTTTTAAATTTATTTATTCATGTGTATGGGTGTTTGCCTATATGTATGCCTGTGCATCATGTTCCCACCTAGTTCATGCAAAGGTCAGAAGAGGCATTGGACACCCTGGAGCAGGATTTCAGACAGCTGAGTTACTGTGTGGATGCTGGAAACTGAACCCAGGTCCTCTGGAAGAGCAGCCAGTGCAACTAACCACTGAGCATCTCTAGCTCCTGTTAACTTTTTTTTACCTGCAGTCCTTTTGCTGAATTGGGTTGGGTTACTTTGTTTGCTTTATTTGGTTTTTTTTTTTTTTTTTTTTTTTTTTTTTAAGTGAGAAGTTTTATTAAAAGGGGGGGTAAGGAAAGAGAAAAGAGGTGAAGAGACGCAGAGACAGAGGACAGAAGAGAAGAGAGAGACAGGAAAAGCCCTGCCTGCCCCAGGCGAGCAGTGGGAAGAGAGAAGAGAAAGTTTATTTGGTTTTTTTAGAGTAAATTATTGCCCCTCTTACATAACCGTGCTTTGATCTCATTGTTCTGGCAGTTTCCAAGCGCTTAGCCATATTTTCCAGTTATGATAAAATGTAGGTGCACTGAACTACCTCCATTTTATGAGGTCGAACAGCCCTTTGTGAGCCGTGAATTGGTTATCTTATGAGGGTACATACCATCTGTGAGCCGTGAATTGACTGTTTGAATTATTTGATCAGGTTCTTAATTTGGTACAGGAAATTAAGTGGGCTGGCTTTGCCATGGAATTGACACTGCCCTTTTTGTCCAGGGTCTAACTTTGTAGCCCAGGCTGGCTTCAAACTCACAATGATGCTTCTGCCTCAGCCTCCTGTGTTCTGGGACCACAGGCATGAACCACTGCTCCTGGATGAACGCTCGTTTTGAATGTAGGCAGTCAGAATGAGGTAGAAGTACAAGTTGAAACATTTGTTGTATTTCTGAATAATCAGTACACATTGAATTATACATGTACACATTGTTAACTTTAAAAGTATACCTAGTGGTTACAGAGATGGTACTGCTCTTCCAGAGGACCCGGGTTCAGTTCCTAGCATCCACATCAGGCTGCTCACAACTATAACTTAAGTTCCAGGGAATCTGGTGTTCTTTTCTGGCCTCCTTGGGCATCCATACACCTGTGAGCATACTAGTGCAAACACAGACATGCATACACATAAATAAAAATAAATCTCTTCTAAAGAAATTCTAGGTAGTTTTGGAAAACTTTTGCAGATACTAAATACAGGTCAAATAACCAGTATCCTACATGCTGGATAACACAAATGTTTCTGGTTCTAGGCGTTTTCAGATATTGGAATGTTTCTATAGATACTATGAGATGCCTTGGGCCTGAGTGTGAGCACGATAGTCATTTCTGTTTGATGTTTGATATGCATGTTACACTCTTAGCCTGAAGAAGAGTGTATTTCATACGTGGAGTCTGCCTGTTTGACTGTAGCCCGTCAGGCGAGGTTAGCCACAGATGTTTCTCCACCTGGGCATCAGTGCCCAGGAAGAATTTGGAGCCTGGAGTTTGCAGGTGGTTCCGAAGGTGAGGCTCTCTCTTCTGTGCTTGCTTGACCAGCTGAGTTCATCCTCAGAACCCCGCGTGAGGACAGGAGAGACCCGTGTTCCACAAAGTCGTCCTCTAGTTTCCACATGTGAACTGTGGCATGTATATGCCCTCATACACATACACACTATAATAAAGTTTAATTAAAAAAATGAAATTCACGGTGTTTCCCTGGTAACTGCTAATAGGATAGAGCATTCCTTCTGTTGATTGAATTTCTTCTACTGGGGGCTGGGGAGATGGCTCAGCGGTTAAGAGCACTGACTATTCTTCCAGAGGTCCTAAGTTAAATTCCCAACAACCACATGGTGACTAGCAGCCACCTTGAATGAGATCTGGTGCCCTCTGCTGGCATGAATTTCCTCTCCTGAAAATTTCCTGTGTGGTGGCGCACGCCTTTAATCCCAGCACTTGGGAGGCAGAGGCAGGTGGATCTCTGTGATTTCGAGGCCAGGCTGCACGACAGCCTCCAAAACAATACAGAGAAACCCTGTCTCGTAAAACCAAAAAAGAAAAGAAAATTTCCTGCGTCCTTTACCCATTTCAATTAAGCAATTTTTTTTAGATTTATTTTTATTGTGTGCGTGTGTGTTCCCTGCACGTATGCCTGTGTACACAAGTCTGCATGGTGCCCACGGAGGTCAGAAGAGGGTGTCAGATACACTGGAACAAGTTAGGGATGGCTGTGACCTGCCATGATGGGACCTGAACCTGTGCAAGAAAAGTAAGCTCTCTCAACCACTGAGCCATCATTGGATAATTTTATATGATTGTATTTAATTGAGTTTAAGCTGGGTGTGGTAGTACGTGCCTTAAGTTCCATTACTCAGAGCCAAGTGCCTCTCAGTGGGTTTGAGGCCAGACTGGTCTCTAGGATAGCTAGGGCCACATAGGCCACCTCTAAATATACACATAGTTTACAAGGCTGCAAATGGCTCAGTGGATAAAAGCACCTGCCACCAATCTCGAGGACCTGAGTTCAATCCCCAGGGTGGGAGGAGGACTTCTGAAAATTGCTCTCTGACCTCCACATTTCAAATCATGGCACACCCTCCCACATATACACTTGTACACAAAAAGGTTTAAAAACATTTCCCAATTCTAGTGTGTGTGGTGTGTGTGTGTGCATAGAAGTTTTAAGTTGTTAGTTTTTATTCCTGTATGCATTTTTGCTTTTTTCCATATGTATAAGTTTCTGTACTGTTAGATTGATGTTTGTCCATTTACATATATTTTAATTTTGGTGTTTTGTTTGTTTGTTTGTTTCTCAAGATAGAGTGTCTTGAATTTGGGGTTTCTATTGCTGTGAAGAGGTACCATGACCATGATGACTCTTGTCCTGGAACTCGCTCTGTAGACCAGGCTGGCCTCAAACTCACAGAGATCCACCTGCCTCTGCCTCTCGAGTGCAGGGATTAAACGTGTGCGCCACCAACGCCTGGCAACCATGGCGACTCTTACAAAGGAAAACATTTGATTGAGGTGGTGGTGGCAGCTTAGTCTCAGAGGTATAGTGCAGCATGCCGGGGAGCATGGTGGCATGCAGGCAGACATGGGTCTGGTGGAGTAGCTGAGAGTCCTACATCTTGCAGGCAACAGGAAGTCGACTGAGACACTGGACATAGGAAACCTCAAAGCCTGCCACCACAGTGACACACTTCCTCTAACAAAGCTACGCCTCCTAGTAGTGCGACTCCCTCTGAGGTTATGGGGACCAATTACATTCAAACTACCACACAGGGTTTCTCTGGACTTCTGGCTGTCCTGAAGCTCACAGAGATCCACCTCCCTCTGCCACCATAATGCTGGGACTAAAGGTGTGTACCACCAACACCCGGCTTAATTTCATTTTTTAATGTGTATGTCTGTGTGGGGTTGTGTGAGCCTTAGTGTAGGTCCCTTAGAGCTTTTTTTCCCTCCTAGTCAATGTTCAATTCTAATGACACCATGACCAGGATTTCAAAAACTGTAAGACCCTATCTAGAAGGGAAAAGGGTAAGAAGACCCTCTCTAGCTGGAGGCTCTTTAATCATGAATTCAAGCCTGGGTTGCTCTGAGTGCCAGGGCCACAGAGCAAGGCTGTCTCAGGAAAAAAGAAAACACCTGGGCGGTGGTGAGCACACCTTTAATCCCAACACTAGACAGGCGACTCTCTTGAGTTCGAGGCCATCCTGGTCTCCAGAGTGAATTCCAGGTCAGCAAGGCCTATACAGTGAAACCCTGTCTCAAAAAACGAAAAAAAATCCATCTCAACTGGTTGAGCGTTCTCAAAAGCTCTCTTGTGAGAAAACCATCCCCACACACCATGGGAGGTAGTTTGTCTTCCAGTTGACCTGTGACCTCTGATTATCCAGGAAATAATAGCCCTGAAGGGTGTTCTTGACCGGTTGAAGGAAGTACGTGTAAAACACCTTTGACAGCCAGTAAGCAATAAAAATAGTTAAATGGAGTTGGAAGGTGCCTCCTTTGGCCTTTGCACCCCCTCAGCAGCTGTTGCGGTCCCCCAGAGCCCAGCCTGCTGCAGGAAGTGGACATGTGGGCCGTTTTCTCCCTTTGGACCTTGCTACAATAACCCTGAGCAGAGGGACTGGCGCCGGTTCCAACACGAAAGGTAGGTGCCTCCTGTAAGGAGTGTCACTTCTCTAGCAGGAAGTAGAGCAGACTCAGCACCTGGGAAGCCGCTAATGCGTGGCACAGGTGGCAGTAGGCGTGGCATCCGCATGGCGCTGGTACCTGAGCTGTGTGGAAGATAAATGGGTTCTTACAGCCGCA